CATTAGAACTTAAGTTAGAACCTCAAACTACTAAAGCAGTACACTGATTTGTTTTATCTGAGCTATTAGAATTAGATTTTTTAGAATTAATAAGAATTGCAGCAGCAGGGGTAATTAATTCTAAATTATTTGAACTTAAATAAGCAATAAATAAATTATAATCACTACTTATTTCTGTTGTAAAAATTTGATATAAAAACTCAGACTCTTTAAATAATAAAACAATATCAAAAAGAAATAAATTAAAAATAATAACTAGCATTAAGTACAGTGTACCAATAGAACTAGTGTTGGTATAATCCACCCATCTAAATAATTTTACCATTTAAAATAATTGGCCCTTATTATAAAAGGTGTTTCCAAAAAAATAGTACCTTTTAATTGATTGAACATAAATATAATTTAAATTTTGTTCAAGATCATAAAGGAATTTACATTAAAAAAAAAAACAATTATTATTACTAAAATATTAAAGGAATTTAAATTTTTATACTTTGAATTGGTAAAGTACTAAAAAATATGTTGCAAAATATGTTGCATTACCATTATGCTATGGTCTTTAATAGGGATTAAAAAAAAACAAAGATTATTTTAATAAAATTTATTTATTAGTTTTATAATTTTTTAATAATTAAAACATAATTATAAAATATTTAGAATAATATTTTTTTAATAGTTTAACTAACAACAATATTTAAATTTTGTTTAATTTAATTAAGAAGCTTTTCTTTCTATTTATAATTGCTTTAATAATTCTATTTTAGTAATACTTTCTATGATTAAATATGCAGATTCATTCATTATATAATAATTTATTTTGAATGAAACATTATTAAGAACCTTAAACCAAAGCATTTAGTAAGACCATAAATTTTGTATTACCAAAAACTTTTATTAAATTAAATTTATTATATAAAACATGTTTTTTCCTTAAAATTTCTAATTATGTTTTATAATAAAACTTTTTTTTTATATTAGTTTATAACCTCTTTTTATAAATTTTAAAACTAATATGTAATGATTTATAATTTAAGACCAAAGAGGATTAAACTCTTATAAAATTATTATAATAATTTGCATTACCATTATGCTATAGTCTTTGATAGGGATTTGTTTAAAAAAATATAATATTAAAATTTATTTGTTAGTCTTATAATTTATAAAAATTTTATTAAGGGCTACGATGCTGCGCTTTTTTAATAAAAATTGTTTTTAAAAAAAATATTACTAACAACAAGGTTTAAATTTTTTGAATTAATTAAAAGTCTTTTTTTTAATTATTCATAGTTGTACTAAGGCGGAGCATAAGTTTATTTATATAAACTTATGCTCCGCCTTATTAAATGTGAACCTTTATTAATTTAGAAAAAATGTTTTTATTAAAGAGGTAAATATTATAATAAAGATTAAAATTTAAAATTAAAATTAAAATAAGGCTCAGACTTAGGTTTACATGAATAAAGAAAAAAATTTTTAATAAAATAAAAATAAAAATAAATAAAAAAAAAGTCTAAAGATTAAAGACTAAATACTAAAGACTAAATACTAAAGACTAAAGACTAAAGACTAAAGACTAAAGACTAAAGACTAAAGATAAAACAAAAATCTCATATATGTAAAAAAAAAACCTTAGAGTATTACTCATTAATTAACTAGGTAATAAAGAAATAAATTACAAAAATTATAATAATATTAAAGTGTTCTAAAAAATTAATATATTATGGATAAGAAAAAGAAATTTATTAAAAAATTTTTTTAAGTTAAATTTGTAATATAGTGTCGTGTTAAATAAATATAAACAAAATAAGGTAATACATATTTAGAAAAAACATAAATTAAAGATAATAATAATAAAAATGTAAATGATAATTGATTTACAAAAAAATATGGTATTAATTGTGGCATAACAGAAAAGATTAAGCTCTAATCCTTTTAAGGAGTGGCAATTTTTAGCTTATTTAATTAATTTTTATTTTAAGGGTAAACAAAAGTATAAAATTATTATAATAATATTTACTTTTAAAAAAAAATAATTAAATAAAAACTTACTCCTGATTATAAAATTAAAAATCAAGCTTTTTTTTTTATTATAAGCTTTTAAGTATAAATTTAAATAGGAGTTGCTTAAATATTATTCTTGTCTTTTGGTTTATTTTAATTTAAATTAATATAATTAATAAAAAATTAAATTTAAATTAAAAATTATAATTATTTATTAACTTCTTATTTAGTATTATTTATTAATTGTTTTTTAAGTATTATTTTTTAGACTAGTGTAGCCTATCAACAATACTAATTTAGATTATTAAAATAATCTTAGTATTAAAAAAAAAAAATCTTCAATGTAGTCTTATGCTTCATTTTAATTATTAATACCAAATATATATTTATTTAAATTTATTTATTATAAAGTATAAAAAAATTACTAAAGCATGGTGTTTTAAAAAAGTTGATTAAGCTAAAGAAGAATCGAACTCCTGTTTGTCCCTTATCAAAGAACTATTTTAACCATTAAATTATTAGCTTATTAAAAAAAAAAAATGGTGAAGCTTTAATTTTATTATTTAATTTTTATTTAAATTGTTTTTTCCTCTTTATATTTAGACTTTTTTTAATATTATTTTTATTTTTAAAAACGAACCTTAAAAAAAAAAATAAAATTAGTATTAAAAGATTTTATTAAAATTATTGTTTTTTTTTTAATTAATTATAAATAATTTTAATAAATTTATTTAAATTAAAATTGATTTTTAAATTTAAAATATTAAATAATTCCAAAAAATAAAATCTTAAAATAAATTTAAATTCTAAACAAAAATTAATTTTTTTAGCTTCTCTAGCTTCGCTAGCTTCGCTAGTAGCTTTTATTTAAATATTTTTTTTTAATGTTTTTATTAATCATTAGCCTTGCAGCAGGCAGTAGTTTTTATTTTTTTACTTTACATATTTATTATATTTAATAGTTTTTATTTTAAAAATTTTAAACTAATCATCAAAACATTCTAAAAAAATTTTCTTTTAGAATTTATATTTGCATTAATTTTATTATTTTATTTAAACCTTCTTTAATAAAAATTTTTTATTAATTATTTTTATTAATTATTTTTATTAATTATTTTTATTATTTTACAGAAGCATTTATAATCTAGTACTTTTACCCATAATAAATTAGTTGTTTTAAATTTAGTAATAAATAAATTTATATTAATAAGATTTAATATTTTATAATCATAAGCATTTTCATCTTTATAAAAATAAATTTAATTAAAACCTAAAAATTCTTTTTATCTTTATCTTTATCTTTATCTTTAGCTTTTTTTTTTTAATTTTAATATTATTTAAATGTTGAATAATAATAATAATGGAAGGTGAAAAACTTTTACCTAATTTATGATTTAAAAATTAATATTATTAATTTTTAAACAACCATCATCTTGAATAAAACCACTTAATCAATGAATGTTTTAATTAGAATAATTAGGATCATAAAAACACCGAATGAGATTATTAAAATTTAATATAATTTAAAAATTCCTTTTTAAGAATATTAAAAATACTTTAAGGAAAATTTTTTGCAACTATTTGATTAAGGCCCTCAGGTGTATTATGAATTATTTTAATCATTAAATCTAAAACCTTTGATCAAATTTTAAAATGAACTAATTTTTTTAATTAATAGGAAAAATTGATTAAAATTATTTTAAATAATTAAGCTTACTACCAATAATAGTACAAAAAACATTATTATAATTTGTTTATTACATTTAGTTTTTTAAATATAAATTTTTTTTTTAACAAGGCTACGCACTACGCATAATTTTTTTTAAATTTTTAGCGTAGCTTTTATTTATTATAAATTTGAGAATTATTAATTGCAACTAATTCAAATTTTGTTTGTACTTTTTAATAAAGAGCATGATAATAAGATTTTATAATACTAAAAATAAATGATGATTAAGCATCAAAAAAAAAAGTAATATAAAATAGGTGTATTTTTTATTCATATTAATTTAAAAAATTGTTTTTAAAATAAAATATAAAAAATATATTATTTATATTAAATAATATAATAAAATAGCTTTATATTAATGTAAAACTATTTAAAAATTTAATACTTTAATTTTAAATTAAATTTTGAATTAAAGTAATTAAAATCTAAAGTTTAATAAAATGTATTTATTAATTTTAAATTATTTATTAAAATAATAAATTTAATTATTAATTTGAACTTTAATTCAAACTTAATATTAATTTTTTTTATCTTTAGAATTTTTGTGCTACGCATATTTTTAGACTTTGTTTATCTTTAGACTTTTTTTAGATTTTTTTTTATAATTCTAATTTATATTAATAAAAATGAAGTATAATAAATACCTAAACAACTTAATTAAAACACTATAGAGCAATTATTATAAGTTTTATTTTTGTTTTTAATTTAAAAACTTATTGGATTCGAATCAAATAATAAAAAATAATTTAATTTACATCAATACAAAATTATAAAAAATTAAATATTTTTATAATTTAATTTACATCAATATAAAATTATAAAAATTAAATATTTTTATTTACCAATTTTATAGTTTTTTAAATTCATTTTTATATTCTTCTTTTATTTTTAAAAATAAAAACTAAAACCAAAAATTATTATTTTGTTTATAAACCAGGTGTAGATTGGTGTAGCCTAAAATATATTTTTTTTATATAAATTAATAATTATTTTGTATAAAATATAAAAAATACAAAAATTAAAAATAAATATTATAGAATTAAATTATAAAAAAATCTACTAAAACAGCATTATTAAAATTTAAAAATTTAAAATTAATAAGAATAAAAAATTAATTATAATTAATTAATGCTTTTTAATTATTTTTTTTTTTTACAAAAATTATAATAAAATTATAATAAAATTAGAGAAAATTAATGAAAATAAAAAAAAATTTTTTTAAAAAAAGAATTGCTAAAGAAATAAACTAAAAAAAAACTAAAGAAAAAAACGAACATGCGAGGATTCGAACCTCGGTATCCTAAAAAGATTGACGTTTTCAAAACGTCCGTAATAAACCAGACTCTACCACATGTTCGCTTATTTTATTTTATTTTAAAATTTATTTTTTGTTTTATTTTTATACATACTTCTTTTAATAAATTTAAAAGAATATAGGAAAAGCGCTTTTAAAAATTTAATTATTTAATTAAATTTTTAAAAATTTTATTTTATAATATAAGAGAAATAAAATAAATTTGCTCCATTATATTAATTATAATAAAATCTATAAACTAATTTAAATCATTATTAAAATTATTAATTTTCATTTTTATTTAATTATTATGAACTTAATTAAAATAATTTATTAAGTTTTTAATTAAAAAAAGCTAAAGCTAAAGCTAGAGCTAAAGCTAAAGCTAAAATCTTTAGCTTATAATTTAAAACTAAAATCTTTTACTAATTAAAAACAAAAAAAATTTTTTTTTTGTACCCTGTACTATGTATTCTGTACTATGTACTTTATACTCTTTACTCTGTACAATGGCTGCAATAATAAAAACCTTCATACATTAAAATTAATATTTTTAGAATTTCATTAATGTAAAATTAAATAAAAAAAGTATATTTATTGTATATTCCAAGCTTAAAAATTTATACTTTAAATTTATATTTCTGATTATTTTATTTTTATATTAAATAAAATTAATAATAAAAATATTTATTAATATTAATATTTTAAAAAATTACAATAACCAAAAAAATAATTTATTAAAAATAAAAATAAATATAAAATAAAAATTAAAATAAAAATAAAATAAAAATAAAAAACATAAAATATAATATTATTATTTTATATACTGCGCTAGCGAGGACTCGAACCTCGAATGAAATTAATTCAATGCTTTTACAGAGCATTCCTTTTACCCATCGGGCAATAGCGCTAGTCGTTGTACCTTCATTATTAAATTTTACTTTGACTAAGAAGGTCCAATTTGATTTTAAAAAAGAACCGAATAAATTATTATTGGCTTAAAGATGTTTGATTAAGTAGTTTAACAATGATTATTTTTTTAGAAGTTAAATAATATAGTTAACATTGGCTATGGAGTTTGGATTAAGGCCAAAGGTTGCTTAGTAATTTATTTTACATTTTTTTTTTATTTTATTATAGACTGTAATTAAACTTTAAGTATAATTTAGTTAGTTAAAAAATAAGTAAGTAATTACTAGGTAAAAAGTTTTCTTAATTAATAAGTAATTTTAAAGTTAAAAATTTTACTAATTTAAAAAAAATAGGAATTGCAACGCTAGACTTAAAAATAGGAGTACAGTGTTAAAAAAAAAATACTTGGTAAGACTAAAGAGAATTGAACTCTTTTTATTTAATTAACAATTAATAATTGCATTAACCTTATGCTATAGTATTTGATAGGGATTTTTTTATTATAAATTTCATTATTGAATAGTTGAAGTATTATTTTTTTTTTAAGTTTAAAAAAAAGAAAAAAAAATATTATTGTTGAGGCTTTTAATTTGATCTCAACTTGGCCCAGGCTTTAAATTTTTACACTTGGCCTTTAAACCTTTGGTCCTACAAAGGGTAAAAATTTTTAGGCATTGGCAGTTTTTAAGAAAAAAAAAAAACTAGGCAGACTCAGAATCTTGATAAGTAAGATCAGTGTCTTCACTGTTAAAATTTTTCCGTTTGGAATTCATTGTTGAAGCAATGTTTTTGATTTGTTCAATGCCTTCATTATTAAGATGCGCACCATCATTCATTAGACTAATAATTTGACAAAATGATTTGTAGTCTAAGGCTTTGGCCCCATAGAGTTGAGTGCTTTCAAATTTTTTAATAAAAGAATTAACACTTGCTAAACTTTGAATTTGAAAATCGGCTGTTGTTCTTTTTTTGTTAAGATAAACAGAACCAAAACCTAAGAAGTCTTTTATTTTGTTTAACACTATTAGACTATTTGTATGTTGAGTTAAAAGAATTCTAATTCTAACACTTGGTGCTGCTTTATAAGTTTTGGCTTGGCCAACGTAAGCACTAAATGACCCGTCAGCTTGAATAAAGCCAGCAATTCAATGAATGTTAACTAATACAAGATTCGGAGTATAAGCAGGGCAATCAATTCGAAAATTAACTCATTGAGGAAATGCTAGTTGCAATTGTTGAGAGATTCCAAAGGGCGCATGCTCTTTCAGGGCTACAATTTTAGTTAGCCCCTCCAAAGTAAGATGTTCTTTATTAACCAGTAGATCGATTACCTGGCATCACAATTGAAAATGAACTAATTTATAAGTAACTAAGGGGTATTGTAAAAAAAAAATCCCGAATAACTAAGCAATTTGCTAGACCAGTAACTCTAAACATAATAGTAGGTTGCCCGTTAGCTCCTCGACCAGGTACTGTATAAATTTGTCCTACGCCAAAATAGTTTTTGATTTGCTGAAACTGCAATTCATTGGCCGCGTTTTGAGAAGCAATTAAAGAGAATTCTAATTTAACCGTTCAACCTAGTTTGTTTTTTGGTGATCTGATTATAGTAAAAGGAAACGTTGACTCACCATCTGCGAATCCGCTTAAGTAAGAAGGGTGCATAGGGTGAACAACATTATCATTTGATGAACCGTTGGAACTAGAATTAGTAGAATAGTTTCTAGAAAAAGACTTGCTAGTTTTTTTCCCCTGTTCAGGTGAATGAAATCTTTCTGCACTTGGCTCAACTGTTTCTTCTTTCAGTAAATATAAAATAATTAAAAATACTAATCAAAGAACAATTGTTAAAAACAAAGTACCAAAGATTAATAAAGCTTCATTGTAAAAATTTAATAAAGTTTGCATTAAAAAAAAAAAATAAAGTTCCAAAATAGTGCTTGCACAAGGCTAACATTTACTTTCAACCTTTGAAAAGACTACCAATTATGCTAAAACAATCTTGGAACTTCCTTCGAATTAGCTTCAATAGATATTTTTTAAAGGTTAAAAATAAAATTAAAATATAAAAATTGGATTAAAATTATCGCCAGATAAGAAGACCAAAGAGAATTGAACTCTTTCATTAATTACTTAATTAATAATTTGCATTACCATATGCTATAGTCTTTGATAAGGATTTTATTAGAAAATAAAATTAAATTAAAAACTTTTGAGGGGTGCGGCTTTTGCAAAACAGCGCTTATAATTTAATTTAAAATTTTGTATAAAAAATTATATAATATAATATAATAATTTTGCTGTTTAAACAATAAACAGTATAAAATAAAAAGTAAATACACACCTTTTTTAAAAATATTTAATTAAATAAAAAATAAAATTTTTTGTTTAGGTTTTAAACAAACTAATCAAACTTATTTAATTTTTTTTATAATTTATTTAAAATAATTATAAAAGCTTCTAATTATTAATTTAAGAAGTTTTTAAAATTAGAATTCATAATATAGAAAAATAAAACTAAAATTTTAGTTTTATAAAACTGTATTATGTGATTATTGAAAATGATGATTTTTTAATATTAAAATACTTATTTAATATTAAAAAAACATTATTTATCCTTTTACTAATAAAAAATTTTATTTTTTTTTTTAATTTTAAATATAAATCATTTATTTAAATTTAATCTAATTTTACTACGCCCAAATATTATTTAAATGTATAATACATTAAAATTTATATTATTATAAATTGCCTCAAGACTGAATCGAACAGTCATCAATGATTCTTCAGATCACTGCTTTACCACTAAGCTATCGAAGCTCTTTATTTTTTTAAGTTTTGCATCATTAATTTTATTTTAAACTACTAATTAAAAATTTCCATTATTAAATTAATTATTTAATTTAAATTTAATTTTTATTAAATTTAAATTAAATTACAATTTTGCATAGTACGAAGTGCCTAGTGCATAATATAGCCTAGGCATACGCTAGGCAGGAGCAAAATATATTTATTAATTTTATTTTAAATAAAAAATTTAAAAATAAACTATAAAAAATTTAAAAATAATCTATAAAATACTCTATAAAAAATTCAAAAACATTAATTATAATGTTATAATACTAATTAAAATAATTTTAATTAGTATTATAGTTTTTTAATATTTTTAATACATAAAATAATATTAATACATAAAATAATATTAATACATAAATTTAAAACTATTTAAGTGGTTAGTAGGTAAAAAATTAAATAATTATGAAATTTTTAAAAATAAAAATTAAAGAAGCATAAAATTAAAATTTAAGAAAAATGGAGGAAAAAAGATTCGAACTTTTATTATTGAAATGCAAATTCAAGTGATTACCATTATCAGATTCCCCCAATATATTATTATTAATTATTATTATTAATTATTATTATTAATTATTTAATCAATCTTGATTAAAATAAAAAAAAAATTAATAATTTTTTTAAATAAAAATTCTTCTTTTAAAAAAAATCAATTTTTTTGTGTTTTAAATTATTTAATTTTTTTTTATTTTTTAAGTTTTTATTATTAATTTATTTTTTTTTTAATTAGTTTTTAATTATTAAAGATAGTGGTTTTATACTATTAAATTGCTTTTTAAAATATGCTTTGCGAAGCATGCCTTGTTTTGCTTCAAATTGCTAGTAAGGCGAAGAAAGGAACCTTTAAAAAAATAATTTTTGTAATTATTTAAAAAATAATAATATGTTTTTAATAAACTAGCTTTTTAAGATTTAATTATTTATTTTTAGCATAATAAATATTTTTAAGTTGATTACTTATTTTATAAAATAAATAATTTTTAAATATATAAAAAAATACTTCGATGTTTTAATTAATAATCAAATAAATTATTTAAGCATTGTTTATTAATTATAATCTTGTTAATTAAAAAAATAAATTAAATAATTTTTATTTTTTTTTAACCTAAAATTAATTATTATTTTTATTTATTATAATTGTAAAATTTTTTGCTCTACTATTCTTTTTTTATACCTTGCTTGGTTTTTCCTCTAATTATGATCCCAGTCGTCTAAATAATAACTACTTCTACTATTAAAAAACTAAAAAGCTAAAAAGAGGCTCCAAATAAAAATAAAAAGTACTAATTGTTTTAAAT